TAATATTCTATAAATAATATGTAATTAATTACTATTAAAATATCCATTATTTGTTAAAAAATTCTAAACATTTGCATCTGGATGTATATAAGTTAATAAGATTACATTTTAATGTGAAATGYYACTAATTAGATCATAGTATTTTACGTCATACAATACAATTTTCAACACAATACATACCTTTACCTACAACGATACGAATGTATGGGTTCTGCACATTTGCATATAGGCTTCAATGCTTTATATAATATACCAGCTATATTTAAACACAACATTCATTCGAAAAGTTTAGAATTGTTTAATACCGTTAACTAAGTTTGTAAACTTTTCGAGCCACACTACCAAATATATAATTTATACGGAAAAACCTAATGGGTAACTAAGTTCTCAAAATACTAAAGGGTTTCTAAACACCTGAAAATGATTTAACATGGTTTACCTCCCCACAAAGTGAAACGGGGATCTAGTCCGAACCCATAATTTTAGAGAAATTTAAATATTTTTTTTTTTACACCATTATWATTAACGTTCAAAACTTTGTGATTAGTAATTTGCGATGCCGGTCACTAAAACATCCGCAACAAATTGATTGCATCAATRACAAACTATAGGTAGGTACATAAAGTTCGGAAACTCAAAAATATGTAGGTATTAATTTTATTCTTTTAAGCATTTATGATAATTATATTACATTATAAATGTATCTATAAATATATACCTATAGAAATGTTAAATATTATCCGTAAGTACCTTATATCCGCCACATTTATGACAAGCGATTACGTCTCCGTTGTGTTTAACGGCGGTTTTGTGCACGCCGACACTACCGAAATTGCTGTAGTACGTCATCGTACGACATTTGGAACGGTATAGAATTAAAAAAAAAAAAAACGAAATCGATTACACTATACGTTTGATGCACACTGCATCTATTTAAAAAAAAATTAACACTTATTGCATAAAATGWGCGTATAATATATCGATACCGATCGTTAGCGCCGAAAATAAAGATGCGACTGGGTCAATATCATATTGTTATAATATTATATTTGCAATACTTATCTAACGATTTACGAATTGTATGATAATATTATGAAATTAAAATATACGTTGGCTGTACAACACGGTACACCTGACCAGACGGTGCGGTTCAGTCGAATGTAATCTACGACACGACTCTCGTAGTGCGTTTGTCATTCGGAAGACGATCGCAAACAGTGACTTTTCGCGGACGCGGCGACCAACACGCTCGCCGTCGGACTGCGGACTGAACGGAGTCCGCCGCCGACTGATTCTCGCGCGCGTTTTACGGTCCGAAGACCGCGACGGCACAGTATTACGGTAATAATGTATACACAAATATTTACGTATACAATGTAGGCATATAATGCTATACAATGTATATTATATCGCAGTCATAGGCGTGTGTGTAGATTTTTATCGTATAAGACATAATATGGAAATAGTCAGTTTTGACAATTAAAAAAAATGTGTGTCAGTGTATATATATAAAAAAAAAAAAACAGATCGATAAACTCGTTTACATTCATTTCGGATAAGTGTATTGTGGACAGAGCTTAGATACATATTATGCACACCAATACATCAAAATAATAAATACTACGATATGGTTTTCAACTACGTTTTTTGTTCAATAGATAACTGTATTTATATATATATAGGCCCTATAAGTGCGATTTTATACCCTATATTATAGGCTATAAAATCACACTCGACAAACTTGGTAAATAAAAATGTAAACCAAGTACGTTAGAAAATAAATTGTTTCCTACCTGGACAATATTTATTAGTCAAATGTGTTCAAGTAGGTATGCATATATATATATTTTTTAAATTAAGCCTAGGCAACTATGGCCATTGGCAACAATGAGTTTGACTCTAAATTATTTACATGTTATATAAGTTGCATATTATTAAATACTATTGGTAAGGTTGGACTTAGTAATAAAGGTTATTATTTGTCTTATGTTGTCTGGGTGGAGGRCTTCTGACAGGATGTTTGATTATGCATATTTTGATATAAGTATACTTATGTATAAATAACAAACAACCACTGTGATGTCCTAAAAAATAAAATAATATCATGTAAAATTATGCACTAAAAATTTCGTGTTTATTGTTTTTGCGATTTCGTAAGACTATTGAAGAATCATAACCGACATAACATTTAAAAAATAGATAGGAGGACTTAAAAAGTTACAAAYTAACATTCGAGATGAGCAAACGGATATGTTATAATTCATGATTTTTTGTGTTTTTCATAAATAAATGTAATGCATACAATCGAATTGAACTTATAATATTATCTAAAGAAAAAAAATTATCAAACCTACACGCGAGACAATTATTTTGAACTGTAAAATCATCGCTTGTGATATTGTAGTGTTTAGCATACCCCGCATACAATTTTGGGTATCTGTACTATATGTTTTTGTGCAAGGCCTATAAAATAAGTAGGTGATAGTAATACTATCAACATTTAAAAATCATTTCAACAGACCCCTATAACTCCAAATCCAACAGCCTCCCCCCCCCCTTTTGGGCCCTGGTATTTCGTACAATCTCCGTTTGAAGACACGAATGATGTGTATACCAAAATGATCCATTCGTCAGAAAGATTTATCAGAGTCCAAAATATTTCTGAGCTTGACGTAAATATGATGCTATTCTGACACATGACATTTTCAACAAATCAGTTTTGTTTTTGAAGCGTATTGTTAGTTAAACGTTTGATAGATAATATTACGGATAAAACCTAATATAACTAATTGACTGCGCAAGGCGCAACAACGATTATTCTTTTATCATAATTTTAATTTACTAGTTAAGTCTGTGTACTATATAGATACTATACTGACACGTGACATTATTTCGCAGTTATCATAAACGTTACGCTGAATTCAAAAAGTATTATGAAAAATACCTATATTTATTTCGCGAGAATAAAATGCATAGTTATATAATATRGTTTCGAGGAATTTATAATCGCTGAGAATAAAATTAAAGCATTCTAATAAACATGACCAAATGATATCGAATTGTTGATCAGGATATTTTTTCGGAGAAAATATAAACATCTCACCAAAAATTTCAAAGTTGTGGGGTAAAATGATATTCTCACACTATACTTCAAATCACGTTTACCTATATACGTACTACATAATAAATAAAAATATTACGAACCGACAAAACAAATGTATACCTACATATTACATGCATTATRTTTTATATTATACTCAAGTATACCATATTAAAGTATATACCGTGTATATTTTTTTTACCAAGTACAAAAAACAGAAAAATATAAAATATACAACAATATTGTTGTTGTATAATAAMATATGCACACGTAGTTATATGTGTTTTTGTGGCGGTCGTGCGATAATGATACGCCGAAAAAACAACAAAAAGCAATAACGTCACACATAACAATAAATAGTTACTGTTATAGTGTTATTGGAGCGACGCGAATACACGATTTAATAACACATGTGAGAGCTCGTATTAGCTATCACGAACGCCTCCGACGCACGACAGAACCGGAGATCATCAACACTGCACTTATTATCTTTTATGACGATCAATGTTCGTTTTCGATTATATATTGTCTAGTCATACTGTTTAGACCTAATACGAGGATGTTTATTGTAAATCATGTTATGTTCGTTTTTTATTACACAATAATGCGTTCCGGCGTTCGTCCAAATATGTAACCGACAGAAAKCATAATAACGAGCAAAACCTATTTGAAGTACAACTGTACGAGTAAAGTGGAATAATTTTCAGAAGTTGTCTCACCGTTTTGGTATGCATAATATGAAGGCATATAGGTACAACATAAATCTAATACATACCAATATATAAACTTACCGAACATAAAATATTATATTATAAAGACATAATCATGATTATACATAATTATAGTAGTCGTACACTAAATAGGATTTGGAAAAAATACTAGTAGGTACATATACCTATACTTTTTTATTTTTTGTGATATTTAAAACCGTGCTTTGATGTTACAGGTGTTCAAAATTGAGTGAACGTTAAGTGTTTAAGTGCACTGTTAAAAAAAAAAATATTAAATTTTAAAAAATTCATAGAATGACATCATCATATTATCCAATTTATAAATCAAATGCATGTATAACATACATAATATATGTACCTACATCGCACTCGTGTTTCATGGGAGTTTATACATAATATTACATACATACTGATTTAAGTAAAATATACTTATAGTTAATTATAAAAACTATACCTATCTATTATACTAATGACTAATGACTATGAACAAATAATACGTTATTCTCACTGTTCTCTCGATATCTCGATTGCACATTTTTTTGATTTAATATTATATCTTTATATAGACTTGAAAGATGTGAATAGGTATTTCACTCGGACATGATTTAAACTAGACAGAATTTAAAACACTTGCATGTATAAAAAAAACTCGCTTCTACACGTTTTGGAGTATATAACATATTTTAGTCAACCAGAATCAGATGAGAGTACCTATACTAAAATCTAATATCACAAAAAAATAACTAACATTTTAATTTTTTTTTATGGCTACTCATTTGTCCTAGTGTAGGTACTAAAAATACCTGATTTTACAGTTTAAACTCCTTAAAACGTAACTACACGCATACCATTTTTACAGATATGTT